GACGTTATGTTAGGTAGCCAAGCACCCAATTCGTGGCGTTCTTTGTAGCGAAGAGTGGGCTCGAAACAGTTAAACAAGGCTCCCTATGACCGAGACCACGCCTCCGAATCCCCGAATCAGGCGTTGGTCTCTGCCAGTCTGCGCCCTAGCCCTCAGTGCAGAGAAGCAGAGCGCGGTGGTATCGCTGTCCAGTTTTTGATTTTGGCAGAACAGCTATTTCATCCCTCGCTAGATTTTAGAGATTAGGATACCCACCCACCCCATTTGATTAGTCCCTAACCATTTTGATTGGTTAGCCCTTCCTGTCACCTTATATGGGACCCCTACTTCTATTTTAGACTGGTAATCATAGCAGTGAAAGCACCTAAATAAGCGAATCAATGGATGGGACTTTGAACAATGAAGTGCCTGGCTGATCATAAAAACGATTGCTTTTCAAAACTACCCTTCATATCCCTGGGTTGGAGGGGCGTGGCCGCGTTTTTATCTGAACATGGCCTGGGACGCGTTTTTATGAGAACTTCCCACTTGAGACAATTGTCATCTTGTCTCATGCTGGTCAAAAACACGATTGCATTCATGCCAAACGATAGCGTCTCGCAAGAGCGCAGCCTTTCTGAAGTACGCAGCCACGCCCTTTTCACCTCCGGGATATACACTGTAAACGGGAAAAACGTAAGAGCAATATTAAATAACCGGGAAATTTGCGTGATTTACTCACCTCTCGATAACTGAATCGAACTTTTTTGTCCTTCTCGTATAGGCATTCAATCAATAGTACTCCTGTCCAGTAGCAGATATAAGCTACCCCCATCATGGCGAATACCGACCACCATCCACCTACCTGAAATGCGTGCTAGTAAACGTTTTCAGACTACCTCCACACTGTTACCAGAGCACGTCACATTGGGGATCCAGGTGCGGGGGATCGTATTTGGTCGGTGGAGGGACCTGGATCGCCGTAACCAGGATCTCCCCCAATCACACGGTAGCCTCAGAGTGTTGCGCACCGATCGATTTTCGTGGCAGATTCTGGGCCTGATGGACTGCTTTCCACTGGACATTTCAAGTCTTCATGACAAATAGGCGAATACACTCGTCCACAAGGCTTATGACTAGGATGACAAAAACAGCCCAAAAATAGGCATAGCTCGGCTTGGTGGGGCAATACATGGCACTGAGTGAAACCTGTAAAGGTCACCTTGAACCTGTAAGGTCCTGTAACCACAGTGACTCACTTGTGACTCGAAAGTGAAAAATGCCCCTCTGAAGTCGAACAGCGACAAAAACGATATGTTGACCCATCAAGTGGTAGATGGGTACATGATGTTAAGAAAAAGCCACATGCATAAAGCTATATGTTGACGGAAACTGGGACTCGGAAAAACTTCTTTCCTTGCTGATCGGCTTTGAGTATCTACTACAATGGGACCGTCAACCTGGAGAATCAATGACTGGCCCTACATCTCTGTTACAATGAGAACCAATTACCCGAGAAATGAGTGAACTTATGCTTCTACTGCATTTGCGCCTGTTTGGGATGTGCCATGTAGCGGCGCTATTTCCCGCGAAAGGACCCTCAGCGGGGTGTCGTGTTTGGTCGCTGAGGGTGGGAGGGGGGCGTAATTGTCTTTGAGTAGACTTTTCTCGGTTTTTTTTCCATTTCACGACCGCCCACTCCTCCTCTTCCCTTCCTAGTTACCCTAGCTGCCGGTGGCGTAAAGTACTTGCAGACTGCCATACAACTACAACTCTTAATTGCTGAATTAGTACTTGATTAGTGCTACTGCATCCCACCCTGCTTGGCAGCAGTTTTTGTGGGGAAAACTGGAGACCTTCGTAAAAAAAACTGCGGAAAAGTTTTAGGAGGTTGGGATGGTTCGGAAAGATGGTGGGTAGGCAGAAAGGTGAGTACGATGGGGGTTGAGGAAGGGAGTGGTGCTAGAGGAGGAACTTCTGAGGGGGTCCTACTTCACAAAATTTTTCCCCAGCGGTAGGACGTGTCCTGGCTTTGATTAAGATCCCATCCGAATGAACTGTATAATTTTTCCTAATAGTACCTTCACAGCTATTGGCAATCCGACGATGAACATTCCTTGGATAGCATTGGTGACGTTCCATGCGGCTTGCAGCGCTGTAATTGGCTCGCCGCCTGCATGTGGGTCCTCAACGATGTTATCAACCTCGACAGGCGACGGTTCGTTTTCATCTTCAGGACCTTCTTCCACAGTACCTATACGGATGAAAATGTGAAGGATGACGCTGCGCTGTTCGGCGACGGGGGGCATTTTGCACTTTCACTGCTGCACTAGCTCCATTTTCAGGTTTCACTCTGGTAAAACCTGTGAACTCTTGTTAAGCTAGAGTAGGCTCATGAGCTACCATGATAAAACCTGTCAACCCTTGTGAGCTCATGAAATAGCTCTCTGGTTAGTAGCAAAGTGCAAAATGCTCCCCCCCCCCGTCGCCGAACTGCGCCGGATGACGCTCTCACTGTTGATCGGAGCGCGTTCATACTTGGCCATTCGATCGCCTAGATTGTGCGCGGTCGGATCCCATAGTATGAACGGACTCTCTGTGCTCTTTGGGATATGTGCACTCAATTTGCACTAAAAATCATGGTGGTACTTTGTGCGCGACTCAGTCTATCCAATGTATAGGTCAGCGTTTTTACACTTGATATCGCTGTACGCAGTGGAGGCCGTGCCAGGAGCTGGGCAGAGCATCTGTTCGTGTAACATTTTGGTTCAATACTCAGGTTTTCTGCTTATGTACGACCCCACCCCCTGCCCCCCTTCCCCCTCCCCTCGCTCACATCGCATTATCTGATTTGCCATCGATCTCTGAGAGTCTCTCCAATGTATACGCAATGTCCTATAAAATAGGGATGGCATAGTAGTTTAGCTGGGAGAGTTATTAAAGAAAAGTGTGCAACGGGGCTCTCTCTGCCGTCCGCCACCAGCCAAATTATGTCCCCCTTCATTGCGTTCATACTTCGCGAAGGGTGCTGTGTCCTGGTCAGGAGGTATGGAGTAAGCCCACCGGTGGCGTTTTCCACCACTGGTTGCTTTATCCTGCTATATATAAACGGCAACGTCTGTTGTCTGTCTGTTAAAGGTCGTTTGTCTGTCTGTCCGGAAATTCGGAATCACCTGAAGAGCCAGTTGGAGGGGGCGGGTCAAGGGTGGGTTGGGTAGGGCATGGGCCAAGATGTACGGAACACACATGGAACTAGCTAAGCCCCGCCCACTTGTGCGCGGGGCGTGCGCACATCAGTGAGCTACATTTTTCAAAAATTCGTAGTTCGCTTCCAAAAGAGCCCCGAGAGCGGAAAAAGCGGCAAACGATAGGCAATCAGTTGGCGGACGAAATGAGTTAGACAAACCCATTCTGGACGGGGCGTTCTATAGGTGGGCGGTGCTTGCTACGAAACTTTCAAAATATTCGCCAGTTCTGCTTCCAAAAGAAGATTAACTGAGTGGGAGAAGCTCTGTGGCAAACGGTAGGCAATCAGTTGGCGGACGAAATCGATGAAGCACAGCCCTGATGGGCGGGGCGTTCGCCGAAGTGAACGGTGCCGAGGACAAAAACCCTCAAAACGCACCCGAAAAACCTCACGAAATGGGGAGTAAAGTGAAACTGAGCAATGGTTTGGCAGATGAAGTTAGTGAGGGATAACGGAAGATACCAATATGGTTGTACCGTCGGCAAGAGGTTATTCTTCGATTCCTCATCACTAAGGGGAGTGCTGCATAGAAAATTTTGATGACTGTCTTCTAGGGGGAGAATATACAAGAAGTGAAACGGTAAAGTGCGGTAATTCTCAAAACAATATTTTTTTCGCCCATTCGGCCGGTGCGAAGCCGGCCGATCCGACTGGTTTCTGAATAAATCACTAACCGATCACTATCGGTAGAGAAAGAAGAGGCAGGATCGCTCCACTCTTGGCACCGCCCCGACTGACTGCGACGATATCACCTGCAGTAGCGCTCAAAAGTATTCGGCCAAACGCTTTTTCGCTCATAACTTTTTTCTCACTCAACCAAATCATTTCAAATTTTAGTATGTTATACCTACCATTGTTGAATAACAGTGGTTTCCTTTGAACGCGATGCATGGGCTACAATTTTTTTGTGACGGAACTAACATCCAGTGTCCACTAAAGCCACCAACTGTCCATTTTTTGAGTTTGTTGAGTTCACGGCAATATTTTTTTGGTTGCAATAGCTGCCTTCTGCGTTTCACGGACATGGAAGAAGATCGAACTCGCAACACCGAAAAAAATTGTCATGGAAAAATGTCGCCGTACAGATGTGACTTCCCCAAGTATTCTGAAAGTTTCTAAAAGCACAGTGCCATCGTGGTCACCGCAGTAAGACAGCAGTCGGCGTTGGAAGACCACTGGAGCGTATTCGGCATCTATTCGCTAGGATAAAAGCATCCACTACCGGTTGCAGGCTGACTGCGAGTCCTCTTGCGTCGGCTTCGCAGCCAAATTCAGTAGCATTAATGAGACAAATATTAGTAAATAATAACAAATGTATGGTCGGAAGAGCAATGAGAGTGTTGGGATTAAATGGTAGATGTGCGACCAAGAACATGAATTGGCTCGTCGTTCTCAAATCAAATGTTATCGAGTATGTTAGCCGTTTTTCCGGTGATCTGAACACTCTGCGTCGATGAAGAGAACGTTGCTCCGATAGTTCGATGTTCATTAAAGGTGGCAGAGAGCGACCTCTGATTGACCCTTTGATTTTCTGAGTTGAACAGCGGGTTCTCGGTCGCACACATACCATTTAACTTGAACACTCTCAGTGTTCTTCCGGTTACTTTTTTACAATCCGTTACTAATATTTGTTTCATTAATGCTATTGAAATTGGCTGCGAAGCCGACGCAAGTGAACTCGGAATCAGCCTGCAAGCGGTGGTGGATGCTTTTATCCTGGCGAGTAGATGTCGAATGCGCTCCAATGGTCTTCCAAACAATGACTACAGTCTTACAGTTGTGACCACGATGGCATTAAGCGTCTCAAAACTTTCAGAATATTTGGGAAAGGCACATCTGTATGCCGACATTTTTCATCTTCATGACAACTTTTTTCGGTATTTGAGGTTCCATTCTTCTTCCAAGTCACTGCAAAACGTAGAAGGCAGTTTTGGCACCTGAAAATATTGTCGTGGAACTCCACAAAACTCGAAAAATGTGAACAGTATGGTGGCCTTGTGGACACTGAAGTTAGTCGTTACACAAAAAAAATTGTAGCCCATGCATCGCGTTCAAAGGAAACCACTGTTATTCAACAATGGTAGGTATAACATACTAAAATTTGAAATGATTTGGTTGAGTGAGAAAAAAGTTATGGGCGAAAAAGCGTTTGGCCGAATACTTTTGAGCGTTACTGTATATCTTTCCAGTAGCGTTGCCACGCCTAATTTCTTATCGGCTATGGTAAGCGGCAAAATGTATAATTAAAGTCGGTGAAAGACTTACCATATTTAGCCGGGGGTGCTGGTCGCTTTGGTCGCATTCCGAATGACTCAGTTTCTGGCGGATCTTGATTCCAATAATCCAACGATGCAGTGAAGACATGCTTATTGCTCCAGTCTTGGAGTGTCTGTAGTCTTTGTGCCATCTTCTGAACAGCTTTCTTTGCTCATTTGGTAGGTTCACGAACCATGCACGCATTGCATAAGGAACAGTGTAACACCCCAACACTATGTGCTCGTGAAACTTTTCCGAATAGGGCACAAAACATGCGCGACGTACATACCGTAATCGATAATCGTGCCTAGGGAATTGTGTGCGACTATTGATTAGAGCCGAATCGGTAGGTGTGCGCAAAAAGTTGTGTACCATGATGGAATAGAGTCAGAGACGCAGTGTGGCGTTGATACCATATATCCTAATCGAAAATCGTGCACCAAGAATCATGTACGATCTTAAGCGCCCAATCGA